AGGCTATATTTGAATTATATTGTATATTGTAGATATTTTATATTATATATTTTTATTTTTTATATTGTAATTAGGTAGCGCTTTGGACAATTATTGGATTTTAGCGCTATATAAATAAAATTATTATTATTATTATTATTATTATTATTAGTAACTTCCGCCTTGTTTGGAACACAAAAAAATGCTGTCTCGATTACCAGCCGCTGTTCGGGAACCTGAGCCCGCGCTCAAACGAGAAAGACCGGAACCGAGAGAGCAGCGGAAATCGAACGTAACATTACAGCAGAAGCCTTGTCAAGTGTCGATAACCTTCCCGGTCTGTTTTTGCGCTAGGTAAGAAAGTGGGGATCCTCACGCAAGTTTAATTCATTTCAAACATAGCTTCAAAGTATAACTATTGCGATTGCAGTAAGGGAAACAGTTTTTTATGGGGGAATAATTCCTATCGCGTGTAACGAAGCTCCACACGAACACTTATGTATTAAATCAAATGTCTACGTTTCTTGCCTATTTTCGGTTCGTGTTAACTTGATTTTGTAGCTCGCTGTTTTGATTTACATATGACTTGTTATAACTTAAAGAATTCCCTCGCACATTAATTCTACATGGCTCCCTGTCGACGAATTTATGTGCGAGCTACGGGGATGTAAATTTATTTCTCAGGACAATCGCATGACTTTTGGAGGGCACATAGTTTATTTGAGGCCCGAGTAGCAAATTAATTTAATAAAATATATATCAGGGCGGCAAAGGCTATTTACAGCCCACTAGAGTTAGGATTAGGGTTAGGGTTTTGGCCCGCGAAAACGAGCGTTCTAGAGAGGGCAGCTTGTCCTTCGGCCGCGTATAGTGGTAATAAGTTCTATTAAAAGTTCTATTACATCTCAACTTGGGTTGGTTACAGCCGCACCCTTCACGAAAAACGAATCTCCACCTGAATCTCCACAAGCTACATCTCGCGACAAGTGGATTCCGAAGCGTAATGCGCCCTTTCTGTTCGTTTTTAGATTGTTTCGAGCTCTATTTTGGAGTAGTTTTCCCCGTAATTCTTAGAACCGCTCAAGCATCACAATCCTCGCAGGGTCAACAGAGCAGAGTTACATCTTTTCACGGACTCTATTCAAAGGAAGTGACTCACTCCTTCCCCTTAACGATGGCCGTAGACTATCTTAAGAGAGGGAGAAGAGCTGGCGTGAAGACAAGAGCTGAAGAAGCTAGGAAACAGTTCAACAACACTCCTGCGAATTCGTCACTGCGATTTCGGTATGCAAATCCGCACCTAACGCGAGGAGTGAATTTTAATAACCTTGTCGCAGTTTCCACGACGAAACCTAGCCACCAAAACCGTGTTTCGGTCCATTTCATTCCTATTGTGATGCTAGCGAATACTATGTCATTAGTTCCAAAGCTAGACGAGGTTCAAGAACTTTTATTACGGCTAAACGTCCAGGTCGGATGCATGGTGGAATCTTGGCTGAAACAACATATGAATGACTCTGTTGTAAACATCGACGGCTATAATATCGTCCGGAAAGATAGATCCTCTCACGAACACGGTGGCGTATGTATATCAAGTTTGTAATCCCTGAGAATTTACAATGCTGCAACGACCACGAAATAATATGGCTGAAGCTTAATCCACCGAGAACCCCCCGCGGGTTTTTCGTGTGTAATACTTGGCCTTGTTTACTACCCTGGTCGGACTAGTCCCGCAGAATCCGATCCTCATAACCCGAATGACCACCTCTTTGAAAGTTTAACTTCGGCAGAAACTGCATTTCCCAACTGTGGGATTATTCTTACAGGAAATCCACCACCATTCAGGTGGCTGAGTGATTGATCACGGTAGTTGTTTATCGGGGTGTATCTGTTTATTTAAATCATTACATCGTTTTGCATACCGAATCATTTTTCTTCGCTCTTTGTACCTGATTACCTTTCAGGCACTACAGACTCTGCCGAGTAACAGTTCTACGCATCTTTGGTGCGAAGTGCTTTCGTTAACCTGACCATTGCAACAGAAACACCTACAATGGTTGAGCAATAGGCCTCGTTTTGAAAAAGAGGCCAAAGTTTTTTTCGGAAACAGCCTATTGACATGCATCAAGCATATTCAATGGAGGCTCAAATTACCAACATTTCTCGTTACTTTGAATATTTGCAACAACTTTTCCACGTTTTTTCTTTGTTTTCTATAGTTGATGTTATGAAGAGTGGATAGATAATGACGGGAATAACTTAGTTCTTATTTACCGAGTGGGAGGTCTGTATGGGAGAATCTTGACCGAGGTCGCCAGTACAGACCGAACGTAATGAGGTCTGTACCAGCGATCGAGATCAAGGTTCTCCCATACAGACCGACCTAGCTCGGTTAATAAGATGTTTATTATATTTATATGACTGTATCTTATATGGCAATTTTTTATATTCTTTGTACCTTATTTTTCTAGACCGGTCTAGATGCCGGTCTAGATGGGAAAATCTAGACCGTTTTCAATATTAATTTCAGCTAATCAAATTTGTGCATTCGGTAGTTCCTAGTCCTTGTGAGACACAGCCATATAATAATGGGTCATACTAAGTATTGAGTGAGGATATCTATACAAAAATATCAGATGTTTTGTTGAACGATCGGGGTGTTCATATTTGTTAACTTTGACCTTCTACTGGTTTCAGTACCACACTTAGAGGGAAAATCATGGGAAGTACCGTAAGAGATAACACTAACTACAGCATGCTCCAAGCCCAAATAGATAGCCAAGTGCTGAGTCAAAAACGATTTGTTCCCATGGAAGAAAGGCACGACACCAGCTTGCTTCCAGCTGAAATGATGCCAGCCATTTGTAGTGGTAAATAGTAGTCTAGTGATAGTTAGTTAAAAAATTGCAAATGGACACACTCTCAAATAATAACAGATAGATAGGCAGGCAAACAAGCAAACGAAAAAGTACTCGGGAACTGTTCAATGTAATTTTTCATGCGCCAAGGATTGAAGATGTCATGGTTATTAATTTCAAAGCTGGCAGGGCATATCCTACGTCCATTGGGAAAAAAAGTCACCAACTAACAAACAAAAACGTGAACAAACTAGTAAACAAACTAGCCCTCGAGAAAACAGTTGAAAATAGCCCTTATGTGAAATGGTTTGCTTTACTTACAGGAAAATATATTACCTCCAATCGAGGCGTACCATTGATGAAAGATCCTTTCACTCTCGCAGTTGTGCCACAATTACTTTGGGAGCTTAAACCGCGTACAATAATTGAGTT